CCTCGGAAACCCTATACAGGGTCACTATGGGTCGGAACTGACTTGATGGCACTTAACAACAACAGCAATGTTATTGTGGACTTGTCTCTTTCTGTGTTCAGTTTTGTTAAAGTTCAATATAGGTATCTTGAGGCTCTTTCGTTGGATGTGTAGATAATTATTATGACTATATTGTTATGTCGGATTGCCATTTTAATTGCTGTATTATGCCCTTCTTTGCCTCTTTTATTAGTATTTGCATTATATTTTATCAGCAATTAATATTGCCATTCCTACACTCTTTTGGTTGCCATTTGCTTGGTATGTTTTTACATGCTTTGATTTTTAGCTTATTTTTAATCTTCATTTCTAAAGTATTCCCATTATTGGCAGCTTATTGATGGGTCATGCTTTCTTATTCATTCTGCTACTCTCTGTGTCTTGATTGGCACATTTAATCCATTTTTATTCAGTGTAATTGAATAAGTATGAATTTACTGCTGTCATTTTACTGAGGTTTTATGTGTTTGGTGATTTTTGTTCTTGTGTCTATGCTGAGTCCTTTTTGTTTATGGATTTAAAAAATAATTTATTTTTTGCTGTTGACTTAATGTTTATTGACATTATTTTCTTCTTTATTTTGATGAGAAGGTCTATTAATTTTGATTTTATCCACTAATTTACTACTATCTTCCCCAATTAAAACACTCCCACAGCTAAATAGGGTTGCTATGGGTCGGAACCGACTTGAAGGCACTTAACAACCACAAACAACGCAACCTAAATGCCCATCACTGGCAGAGTGGTTAAACAAACTTTAGTACATACAGAATGGAATACTATACAATGTTGAAGAATAATGATGAATCTACAAAATATCTCATAACATGGATGAACCTGGAAGACATTATGCTGAGTGAAATATGTCAATCACAAAAAGACAAATATTGTATGAGAAATGTGTCAGACTGCAAAGTCATTTGAACTGCAAGGTTGGTGGTTCAAGCTCACCAGCTGCTCCTTGGAAACCCTATATAAGGTCACTATGGGTCGGAATCGACTCGACAGTACTTAACAACAACAACACTCTTATAAAAATTCAAGAAAAGGTTTTCATACTAAAAGAAACATTCTTTGATGGTTACCAGGAGTGGGAGGGAAGGGAAAATAATATATTTGCTATAGGGTAGACACATGTTAACTCAGGTGACAAGGAAGACAATATAAAAGAAGGGGAAGGACAGTATACCAGAAGAGGGAGGTTAGCATAAGAATGATGAAGATAAGTGAAGACACAGGGAGGTATGCATGGCCTAAAGGGGATAGAGGTCAATAGCGATATGTACACAACCTTGGAACAACAGTGTTCTGTGTGTAGATACATGGACAAGACATAGGCAGAATGGGTATGGGAAAAAGAGTCGCATATATTTATATATCCCACAAATATGTATGGGAAAAAGAGTCGCATATATTTATATATCCCACAAATATATATGAGTTTGAAAGAGGGTATTTGTACATGGGTATCCACAGGGAGGAAGCATAACAATTGTTGCATGGAGGGATTGCAATCATGGAGATGAAATGAAGTGTATGATTTGTTGAATGTAAAACTGATAATCTAGTATGTAAACCTTCAATCAATTCACAGTAAAAAGTTTTAAAAATATACAAATACTTCCTTTTGCCTTTATGACATCTTTGCTTCCTCTCCATTTTGAAATTCTGTACCTACATTATTTATTTCCTTTAAGATTTATAATTATCATTGTTTATAGATTCACATCTCTGATTCCCTATTTTCAATCTGTAGGTTTATTTTATTTTTTATCAATCTGGGTTGGTTTCTGGGTGATATTGTGTGTCTTCATCTCTAGTTGTTGTCTGCTATTGTTGGTTCTATGTCAGAAAGACTTCTTTTAGCATTTCTTATAAGGTTGGTCTAGTTTTCACAGTTGCCTTAATTTCTGTTTATCTGAGAATGTCCTAATTTCACCATCATATTTGAGGGACTGTTTTGCTGGATATGTTAAACATGGCAGCACTCTTTCCATAAGAGTGCTCATCTCTGACCAGGGAAAGGTCAAGATGGTCTCATAGAAATGTGGGTGGCAAGAAGAGAGAGGCACCTTCTCCAGGGGATCCAAAAGGAAGGAAAGAAAATGGGGGAAGGGAGTGAAAGGAGCTAAGAATAAAGACAAAGAGTAAAAAGTGGCACATCAATGGCATTGATGGGAATGTTGATCATCTGTCAGGTAGATGGGGTGGGGAGAACCATGCCTGCAGTCACTAGGAAGTTGTGAATGGTAAATGGAGAAGGTCACACCTCTGGTCACAAATCACTGATGTGGGTGCTGGTGCAGTCCTGGTAAAGTGGGGCTGTTATCAAATTCCTGCTTCAGTTGAGATTGTGCTTGTAAAAAATCAAACTAGCCATGCTGGGCCAGTTGGCAATTTACTGCCCTTGTTCACCGTTTTCTTTTAATATCTTCCTGTCATCAGTATTTGATCTGCTTCTTTATCCTTTCCTTTGAATCTTTGGCTTCCAGGATTGTTATCTGTATCTGTTTCACTTAGTTTCTCCAGTCTTAGTTGTAGAGTGTCTGAGTAGTATATATGTCTAGACCACCATCTTAGATCCTTACCTGATTAATTTCCTATTGTTGAGCCATCCTGCTTTCCTGGAATAATTTCCATTTGGTCCGTGTATGACTTTTTTAATATGCTGTTCGATTCTGTTTCCTGGAATTTTGTTGAAGATAAGTTGTAGTGTTCCTTCTTTTATTTATTATTTTGGTTATTTCCATATTTTCTGTTTTTTCTTTGTCAATCTAGCCAAGGTTTTGTCAATTTTATTGATCTTTTCAAAGAACCTGCTTCTGGTTTTTATTGATTCTTTCTATTATTTTTTTGTTTTTATTTCATTTCTGCTTTGATCTTTGTTATTTCATTTTTTCTGGTAAGTTGAGGCTTAGGTTGCTCTTGTCTTTCTAGTTCCTAAATTAGTTTGTTGATCTGAGATATTTTTTCAAGTAGGCTTTTATTACTGTAAGTTTCCCTCTGAATACTGCCCTTGCTACATGTTATTAAAAGTTTTGTGGCATTATGTTTTCATTTTTATTTGACTAAGAATTTTGTGATTTATCTTGACTTCTTCCTGATCCATTAATAGTTTAATGCCAAAACAAAATAGTTTAATGCCAAAACAAAATGATTGATTGCCATCAAGTCAATTTCAACTTATTGTTGTTGGTGTCAAGTGCCATCAAGTCAATGCCAACTCATATTAACCCTGTTCCAAGGAGCAGCTGGGATGGATTTGAACTGCCAACTGTGTGGTTTGCAGTTCATTGTTTATTCTACAGTGTCACACCAAGGCTGGATCATTAGTTGTTGTTGTTGTTGGTAGGTGCCATCGAGTCAGTACCGATTCATAGCAACCTTATGCATAGCAGAACAAAACACTGCCCGATCCTGGGCCAACCTCACTACTGTTGCCACGCTTGAGTCCATTGATGCTGCCACTTGGCCAATCCATCTCGTTGGGGGTCTTCCTCTTTTTCTGACCCTCCACCTTACCAAACATGATATCCTTCTCCAGAGACTGGTCCCTCCTGACAATATGTCTGAAGTATGAGAGACGAAGTTTGGCCATCCTGGCCTCCAAGGAGCAACTCTGGCTGTACTTCTTACATAACAGATCTATTGGTTCTTTTGGCAGTCCATGGCACTTTAAATACTCTCCTCCAACACCATAACTCAAAAGCATCAATTCTTCTACAGTCTTCCTTATTCACTGTCCAGCTTTCGCATGCATATGAGGTTATTGAAAATACCATGGCTTGGGTCAGGCGCACCTTAGTCCTCAAGCTGACGTCTTTGCTCTTCAACACTTTAAAAAGGTCTTGTGCAGCAGATTTGCCCAATGCAATACGTTGTTTGATCTCTTGACTGCTGCTTTCATTGAGTGTGGATAGTTGATCCAAGAAGAATGAAGTCCTTGACAACTTCAATCTTTTCTCCTTTGATAAGAATATTGTTTATTGGTCCAGTCTTGAGGATTTTAAGTTTTTGTGTTTTTTATGTTTTTGGGTTTGTTTGTTTTTTATTATTGATTTCTAGCATAATTCTGTTGTAGTAGATTATTATTTTGTAGGGTTTTAAAATTTTATCAAGGCTTATTTTGTGACCTAACATGTGGTCTATCCTGGAGAATGATCTCCATGCACTGAAGCAGACTGTATATTGTATTGTTAGGTGCAGTGTTCTATTTTTGTCTGTTAACTCTGGTTGGTTTATGGTGTCATTCAGGTCTACTGTTTCCTTGTTGATCTTTCTGGGTGTTCTGTCTAATATTGAAAGTGGTATGTTGAAGCCCCCAACTATCATTATTATTCTAAAGTGGTGTCTTATAAAAAGAACAGAATAGATGGGGAGGGTGTGCAAAGAAACACATGAGGAAGACAAATGCATTTAAAAGTCCAAGAGTGCACGGATTGCCAGCATCTATTAAAAACTTAAAGAGACAAAGAAGGACCTCGCCCTATAGAGCCAACACTCTATATTAACTTAAAAAATAAAATTTTGTTCCTTAAAGCTATCCAATTGTTAGTGTCTTGTTAAACCAGCACTAGCAAACTAAGACACATGTTACAAATGTACATTTTTGAAAATTAATTATTGGAATAGACTAAGAATTCTGATTCTTTTGATTTTCAGATGGGTGCTTCTCTTTATGCTTCGAATATTGGCAGCAGCTACATTTTGGGCCTGGCTGGGGTAGGAGCATCTTCAGGGATTGCTATTGGGGCTTTTGAGTGGAATGTAAGTAATGTCTTTTATAGCTACTAACATACATGTATGCAAACATATGCATACAAATATACATAAATATCTCTATATATAATATTTAGAGATACATATATAAGCCCTAGTGTGGTGCTGTAGCATAAGTACTGCCCCAAGATTGATAGTTCACACCCACCAGCTGTGCTCAGGAACCCTATTCAGGTTTGCTATAAGTCAGAACCAACTCCATGATACACAACATCAGAAAATTATTTATATATGTATATATCCTGTCTTTTGAAGTATGTTTTAAAGGTTAACTCAATATATAGCCTGTCTTTTGCAGTGTGTATTGAGAATTAACTCTCTCTCTCTCTCTCTCTC